ACCACAGTGTAGCAATAACATATCTGGGTCCAACTGCGTGGTGGATATATGGACCACTCTGTGGCAAAATGGACCCCACTGAAATGAGTACAAAAGTATAGCAATAACATATGTGGGCCCAACTGCGTGGTGGATATATGGACCACTCCGTGACAAAATGGATCCCAGTGAAAAGAGTACCACAGTGTAGCATTAACATATCTGGGTCCAACTGCGTGGTGGATATATGGACCACTCCGTGGCAAAATGGACCCCACTGAAATGAGTACCACAGTATAGCAATAACATATGTGGGCCCAACTGCGTGGTGGATATATGGACCACACTCCGTGGCAAAATGGACCCCGCTGAAATGAGTACTACAGTATAGCAATAACATATGTTGGCCCAACTGCGTGGTGGATATATGGACGACTCCGTGGCAAAATGGACCCCACTGAAATGATAGCACAGTATAGCATAACATATGTGGGCCAACTGCGTGGTGGATATATGGACCACTCCGTGGCAAAATGGACCCCACTGAAATGAGTACCACAGTATAGCAATAACATATGTGGGTCACTCCGTGGCAAATGGACCCCACTGAAATGAGTACCAAAGTATAGCAATAACAAATGTCGGTCCAACTGCGTGGTGGATATATGGACCACTCCGTTTCAAAATGGATCCCACTAACAAGAGTACCACAGTGTAGCAATAACATATCTGGGTCCAACTGCGTGGTGGATATATGGACCACTCCGTGGCAAAATGGACTCCACTGAAATGAGTACCAAAGTATAGCAATAACAAATGTCGGTCCAACTGCGTGGTGGATATAGGACCACTCCGTGGCAAAATGGATCCCACTGAAAAGAGTACCACAGTGTAGCAATACATATCTGGGTCCAACTGCGTGGTGGATATATGGACCACTCCGTGGCAAAATGGACCCCACTGAAATGAGTACCACAGTATAGAAATAACATATGTGGGTCACTCCGTGGCAAAATGGACCCCACTGAAATGAGTACCAAAGTATAGCAATTAAAAATGTCGTCCAACTGCGTGTAGATATATGGACCACTCCGTGGCAAAATGGATCCCACTGAAAAGATTACCACAGTGTAGCAATAACATATCTGGGTCCAACTGCGTGGTGGATATATGGACCACTCCGTGGCAAAATGGACCCTTCTGAAATGAGTACCACAGTATAGCAATAACATATGTGGGCCCAACTGCGTGTGGATATATGGACCACTCCGAGGCAAAATGAACCCCACTGAAATGAGTAGCACAGAATAGCAATAACATATGTGGGTCCAACTGCGTGGTGGATATATGGACCACTCCGTGGCAAAATGGACACAACTGAAATGAGTACTACAGTAAAGCAGTAACATATGTGTGGTTCCAACTGCGTGGTGGATATATGGACCACTCCGTGGCACAATGGACCCCACTGAAATGAGTACCACAGTATAGCAATAACATATTGGGTCCAACTGCGTGGTGGATATATGCACCACTCCGTGGCAAAATGGACCCCACTGAAATGAGTAGCACAGTATAGCAATAACATATGTGGGTCCACTGCGTGGTGGATATATGGACCACCCGTGGGCAAATGGACCCCACTGAAATGAGTACCACAGTATAGCAATAACATATGTGGGCCCAACTGCGTGGTTGATATATGGAACCCGTATCAGGACAATTACCCCCTGGGCAATCACCCCCCGGAAAATTACCCCCCGGAAAACTACCCCCCAAGGACAATTACCCCCTGGAAAATTACCCCCCGGAGAATTACCCCTGAGGACAATTACCCCCATGGACAATTACCCCCCGGAAAATTACCCCCCGGAGAATTACCCCCCGAGGACAATTACCCCCCAAGGACAATTACCCCCCGGAAATTTACCCCCCGAAAAACTACCCCCCGAGGACAACTACCCCCGAGGACAATTCCCCCCGAGGACAACACCACCCCCCGGAAACTACTACCCCCCGAGGACAACTACCCCTCAGGACAATTACCCCCCGAGGACAACTACCCCCCCCGGAACTACCCCCCGAGGACAACTACCCCCCAGGACAATTACCCCCCGAGGACAACTACCCCCCGAGGACAATTACCCCCGAGGACAACTACCCCCCAGGACAATTACCCCCCATGGACAACTACCCCCGAGGACAATTACCCCCCGAGGACACTACCCCCCGGAAAACTACCCCCCGAGGACAACTACCCCCCCCCCCCCGAGGACAATTACCCCCCCCCCTCGAAACACCATTACCTCCGAGGACAATCACACCCAGGGAATTTGCAACACTGTGACGTATAATGCGAGCTCCGCTTCAAATTGCTATTTAGAGAAAATGTCATGAACTTTCATTTTCTTAGTTATTTATGACGGCATAGATTTGTTTCGTACAGGGGTTGTGTATAAACATATTTGCAATAATTATATTTAATTATATTTTGGGTGAATGTATGTGGAAAATTTGTTAAGGAAGAATACAGATTTTTTTTTAAAGTTTTCTAGCACAGGGCAAATAGGCGGGGAGCTCACAAGACACGTCACGGAGTTGCATATTTGTGTTTGCACCTTCAACAAATCATAATTTTCTAATTTTTAATTTGTGAAACTTTTTCAAACTCTAGGCCATATGAAAGATAGAAACATCCACTACCTCCATCTCAGAAAAGGTTAAAGCAGGCATTTTTACTTTATTTTCCCCCTGAAACGTGGTCATGGTAATTCTATGAACCGTATGAAATTGAAAAGTTTTTGTTCTTAACGAGTTTAACAGAGATTAAAAATCGAAGGGACGCTTAAGCATTAGTGACGATGTTCGCTTCCCGCCAGCTTTGTTTGACGTTATTCAGTGTGGCCTCCAAGTCTCCTAAAACTTTGACTTTTCATGAATTCTGGAAGCAAAGGAATATGTCTACTTAGACTGTGCTTAAAATTTATTTTTTGTTTAGCTGTTTATGGTTCTCTAGTGTACGAGTTATTGTGGTGAAAATCCTATTCTTGTTTTGTCATCATTCTTTATATAAAAGAAAAGGTATTGAACTTAAAATGTTGCGGAGGTAAATTGACATACAAGATGCAATATTTTAACTATTTACATTCTCTATCACAAGTGAATAACTTTAATAGCATTTCAAACAGTGTTTCAATTTTCAGTTTTATTTTCACTTCCAACAGAACTATCAATATAAACAATTATGACAAGAAATCAATTACATAAATCATTTTGAAAATCATTAATTAAATTACAAAAGAATGTATACATGTGCTGTAAGTGATGTTTCGTTTGTTTAAAAGTAAAAACTGTGAAAATGGAGGGATCTACTGAGAAGCGGGATTTGTAGAATGTGGATCCCTCAAAAGACGGTAGTATAAACATATGGAATAAATACATATACATTTGGAGACAAAACAGATTAATCTGAAATTGTGAAATGAGAACTTATGAATTATAAATTCATAATTTAAAAATGTATAAAAACATGCTTTCCTACGTCTGGGTGAACATGATCAACAGAGACATAGGACGAAGACTGACATTATATGAAAGGTCACAAAACGCAATCTGTGGGGGGGGGGGGGGGGGGGAGTGAAACACGAGTTGACTACGCGAAGATTTAATATGTTTTATAAGATTGTAAAAGAAACGAGTTCGCTTTTCGCTTAAAAGAATGGAGTGATGGGGCAAGTTTAGTACAAATACGTGAAAAGTTCCAAAATTTGAGACCGGCATAGATAAATGTATTTAGAAGAGGTAAATGAAAGTCACCACAATGTAATTTTTTTGTAGGGGGGTGGGGGGAGGAACACATCATGAATAAAATTGAGAGCATGTCATTACTGTTAGTTTACAAAAACTGGCCTAACTGGAAGAGATAGAGGTCATTAATTATTAACATGCTATTTTCAAAGAATATAGGATTTGTAAGGGAACGCGACTGAGAGTTGCGATTAATACGAAGAGCTTTTTTCTGCAACGATAAACTTCTGTCCAGCAAATTTTGGCGCGTATTGCCCAAAACCATATTTGAAGAGGATAAACATGATAAATATTAATGATACATTAACACAAATAAAACACCTTCCTGCTGTCTTGAAGGAAGCCAAAGGAGGAGACTTATCAAAGTCATGTACTAAAAACAGAGTTCTGACATCCCAAAGTAAAACTCAGAGGCAAAGATCATCACAATCATGCATCATATAAACATGAAACAGTAAAAAAAGAGAATTAAAAAAAAACTAGAAACTTTTATCCTGAAAACAATCAAATGCATAAAAAAAGAAGATATCAAATGATATCATTCTGTATTCAACAATGTATATACGTAACACATCTCTTAATGTAAAACAAAAAATCCCATATAATGTAATGCCAAGTAAATGGGAGGTCCTGCATGTTAAAACAATTCACCTGGAATGATCAAAAACTGTACAATAGCATAGGTGACTGATCGTTAGTGAAGATTATGGGACACGCCCCTCAAAAAATCTACAATGTCTCTCCCATGGTAATTAGTAACGAGCCTGATGAGCCGGAGATTGGTATCTTGGTACACTCTCCTACGTGCGGGAGGCGCCATTCCAGCTTGCGCTTGCCCGATGCTAATCATGCTTATCATATAAACATGAAACAGTAAAAAAGAGAATAAAAAAAATAGAAACTTTTATCCTGAAAACGATCAAATGCATACAAAAAGAAGATATCAAATGATATCATTCTGTATTCAACAATGTATACGTAACACATCTCTTAATGTAAAACAAAACATCCCATATAATGTAATGCCAAGTAAATGGGAGGTCCTGCATGTTAAAAACAATTCACCTGGACTGATCAAAAACTGTACAATAGCATAGGTGACTGATCGTTAGTGAAGATTATGGGACACGCCCCTCAAAAAATCTACAATGTCTCTCCCATGGTAATTAGTAACGAGCCTGATGAGCCGGAGATTGGTATCTTGGTACACTCTCCTACGTGCGGGAGGCGCCCATTCCAGCTTGCGCTTGTCCGATCGTTACTTCGTTCATGGCATGTTCCCGTTTTAGGCAGGTCAAAAACTGCCAAAACGAGGGGTGGTCGGCACCGACGCCGATCTGGAACCTTCGGTGCCAGCCCTCCACATGATTGTTCGTGCGAAATTCCCCCTGCAGTGTCGCATTGAACATGTTCCACATTATGGGCGGGAACCTCGCTGCCTGGCGACCATGTCCCGCGGCTCTTTGAGGTCGACCCACATAAGTATCCTCAAAATAATTGAGGACAGGTTGCAGCTCTGCCCTTGCAATGCCTGCCAAGGCTTCAAACGCCTCCACGGTGTCTTCCACTGGCACAAATGCAATCGCTCCTATCATTCTCGCCTGTGTCCGGATCTCCTCATCCTCGTTGTAGAGCACCTGCAGCCCTTCTTGCTTGATCTAAAAATAATAATATAAAAAACTCATAACAGTACATGTACCAGCCCTTTCACACTTCAGAAATATTGTTTGTTGTCTACCCATTGAGCAAAATGCATAGATATTGGTAACTGTTCATTTAGTGTGGGGGAGGGGGGAGGAACAAACCGCTGTCCCCTATTTTTTCGCCGGAATCCGCCAGGGCTGCCCGAAATTTTCTCCCTTGCCTGACTATACGCCAATGAGCGTTTCCTATAGGAGAAAATTACATGCTTGTATCCTACTCAGCTTCCTTGTGGCCTACCAATTTTCAGTATAACTATCGATTATATTCCCCCCTCCCCCTCCCCTGGCGATTAGAGGTCCGTGTTTTTTCCAGGTCAGTTTTAGGCACAATCGAAAAGAGATATAGCCCCTACCCTCTAATCATCATATAAAGTTTTTGTTACTGGGCTTGAAAGGATGATTAAAAGAAAAAATATTTATTAGAATCCTCCCCCCCCCCCTCTCTCCTCAGCATTTATCATGGCTTGCAAGTCCACTTACTCAAATTTCAAACTCTACCTAATATTTGTATCACTATTTTTTTTTTTTTTTTTAGCCATGAGCCTTGAATGTACTATTTGATCAATAAATGGCGGGTAAAAAAAAGGGATCAACTGTCAATATATAAATATCACCATACCCGTTCATGTATCCTCTGACAGAGATGAAAAAGACATCCTTGAACGTGAGCATTTGGAAATGCCTGGGAAAATGCGTTCTTCGCTGCAAATTCGTAGTCGATCATGATTCTGGTTGGGTAGAAAGCCCTTCCCTCCTGTAGTGCTGCTAGTACCCTTGCATATGACGCCTGGTCCTTATTTAGCATGAGGCAATAAACCAAAGGCACCACATGTCCCTCATATGTGGCGTGGATTGTCCACAACTGGAAGAAGATGGTCGGCACTACCTTGAACGTGCCATCAGCGAACCAACTTTCAGACGTTGACAGCAACTAGTAGCAAAACAGAATGAATACATTTGCATCGAATATTATATATTTCAAACAAACAAACTGTTTCACTTGCAAAATTGTATGTATTATTTCCAAGCTATTTTATTTACTTACTTACTGTTTTTAATTATCATAGCATGATAGTTAAAAAACATAATCGAAATAGGAGATCATGTCGTATCAGAACAATACCCCCTCAGGGGAATTGTTCTAGAACCGATCCTGTACTTTGTCGAGAATAATAACCAATTTTAATTTAATTTCAATTTCAATTTTATAGGAAGTATTTGGATATCTTTATGATGACCTCACAATTTCAATTCATTCTAATGAATCCTGAAATCTTTTTTACTCAATACGTATGCTTTTGCAGCACTTCCTAAAATTGCGGAACCGTAGAAGGCCAAATGGCAATGAACCCCAACACTTGTTCTTACCTGAAGGTTCCTTTCCGTAGTAAACACTAAAATCCGGCGAGGGTCGTTTCTTCCAGAGTCGTGATAAAGGAAAAGCTCTCCACCCAGCGTCAATCGTTGATCTACAGGGATTTCCAGATCTTCCACAGTCATGGGAATGGGGAGGGCGTTTGGGTTCTCTTGGCGCTGTCTCCGGATATTCCTCCTCATGTTGTTTAGTGATGGTAGCGCTGCCCGCCCTTCCTCTGTTACCTCGCATAGTGTCGCCATAAGCACCTGTTGTGGTTTCATTGGACTCAGTGGCCCTTCTCTTCGTTGCTGCTTTAACCTTCGTAGCATTGCTTCTACCATGGTTAGGCGGATGGTTATGCTCCGTTCTATCGCGGAATTGGTTATCACCCATGACCTATTAGAGAAAAAGAAAAAGAGAGAGAGAGAGGAAGTGGGGAGAGAGAGAGAGAGAGAGAGAGAGATTGAGAGAGATAAAACATTATTCCCATATATATAGGCTATTAATCATCCACTAATTATTAGGCATTATGGATGGTAGACGAAATGGGCATTTAGAAAACTAGGAATCAGACAAAATGAATAATAGACCAAATGGTAATAGATTAATTGGGGATTAGACCGAATGACTGTCGTCCTAGATGGCCGCTAGATCTAACGATAAGTAGACGAAACTATTATGGGACCAAGTGGATAGTAGACTGGCTGGTTGTTAACCAAACGGCAATTCACCCTAAATAGCTACATGTACGTTGATCTCAACACAACGAATTAAGTTTCCTAAAAAGCAACTCCTTGTGATTTTTTTGTTAACGGGGAGTCCAACATTGATATAGTGACTTCTCAAGACTAAACCTGAAAAATTAGTGAAGCGTATTGAACAAAGTTTGAATTTTTGAAAGTTAGAATCACTTTCATCCCGTAGATACAAACTTAATTGTTTATTTGATTGTTTTGTGTTTGTTTTGGGTTTTTTCCCCTTTGTCACTATGATTTGATTTTGTAGTTAAATTTCTGTAAATATGTTCATTTATTATAACTTTCATATTTGTTTGTGAATTATATTTTCATTGTTTTATATTTTATTCGAATTTTATGTAATCACGGCCTCGCTGAAAAAACAGCTTTTGCTGAATGCGGGCACAAGTTGTATTTGTTTTAACCATGAATAAATAAAAATATAAAAACAAATATAGGTAGGGCTCTTCGAATTAGCCGAATCGGTATTTTCTGTATAAAGTAGCGGCAGACAACTTTATAATATAATAATATAATAAATTTAATTTATATAGCGCTAAATACAAATGTCTCTAAGCGCTTTACAAATATATTATTACCCCGGTCATTGGATTCAGTGCTTACCCGCACACAATGTGTGCACAATCTCCACTCCCTGGGGAGCATTCCAGCCAGGCGTTACATGACGCTCAAAAACTGTTTGACCAACAATGACGGTCGCATCCTACCGGGTACCCATTTAACACCTGGGTGGAGAGTAGCAAGTGCAGGTTAATATCTTGCCAAAGGATATTAGTGCCGTGTCGGGATTCGAACCCTCGACCTTCGCATCTCCAAGTCAAGCGCCTTAAACCACTCGACCACGACACTCCCTTTCCCGTTTGTTCCTACACACAAAAAATTATTTCTAGAGAACCTGTAATAATATACTCTCCATATTATATTTTAAGTAGTGCCCCAAGGATGAAGGCGCTTGGGAGAAAAAAAAAATCTTCATATTTGTGTACAAGACAAACGAAGGGTTATTTGTCACTACGGCACAATCCAATGAGAGAATTGCCAATTTGAGATTTGCATGGATGTATATAGTGATCTCATATATCAAACATTCATTATTTTCTTATCATTGGTCCGATTTATTCCAAACTTTTGCCATTCTGTTTCTCTGATGTATCTGCTTTCATTCCTTAAAAGCAATGGAATTGTTACAAGGGTTGGATTTCCTTTGAACCGTAAAGATAGTCCCTTTTGCAGCAAACATCTAATGCTGTCGAACTTTGTAGGAATTATGAATATGTCATGTATGTCCTATCTGTGAAATATAAACGTTAGCAGTGTCCTAATATTCAAATTATGCAAGGAAACCCGTTTACTTGCTAGACTTCACCGTCAGACACTATTGAGTGACTGACTGGCCTTTTTTCTTCTTTGGTAATAACATATATAAAATGAGCTGTAAAGGGTACATAAGCATTTGCCTACATCAATAACCCACTTCTTGTAATGGCCAAATTAAACTGATTGAATCACTGCGCAGCTTAAAACGTACGACCATTCGGTACAATGGTCTGAAAATCAGACTGTTACTTACTGGCTCTATAGCTCTTAAGTCGATTCGACAACTAATATGGTTATTTTCCCACTTAAAGACATTTTCAAACCCCCGTTTTTTAGGAGAGTTCTAAATTAGTATTATCTTTCAAATGCCGTTGGAATTTAACCTTTTCATTTTTTGGCCTGCAAATGGGAATAGTACCTTTAACAGGATTGTATCTGTGGTTTTACAGAAATATTTGTGTGGAAACCAGAAGTAGCCAGTCATACTTAATCAAGCAGGTAAATGAGAGGAATGGGTCGGTGAAAGTTTAAATGAATTCCGATTAAAGATAAGATTTTATTTTGTTTAAGTTGCAAACTCCCCTCCCTTCTACTCTGTACTAAAAATCAGAAATCTTTATTTTCCTTAGACAAAATTTTCAGTTATACATGCACCCTAAATATACTATTTCAAATGTGTTTTCCTATCCAATCCTTGTATGGAAGAAATCTATTCCGTCATCAACAACGAAGAGAATTAAGTTGATTACATTTTCTGAGCAAATTGGAGAGGAGTGCGGATACGACACAATGTTATCGATAATGTAATGTCATTATTATTACTGAAAATATTATTAATGACAATTTTAATATTTTCCTTCTTAAAGCGTCTGGTAGACGCCGTAATAGAAAATGAGGAAAATAAAAGAAAATAATTGATTACATTTTTGTTTCCTACTTCATAACTGGAAGGGGTTGAGCTCTAAATCTTTCAGAGTATTGTTCAAAAATTGTATTGCATATCACAAGCCATCTGCAGAAAAAATCTCATCGAGATTTTGAGGGCTTGCAAATGTGTGATACTATCTTTAAAGACAAAATTTGGAAAATTAGCTACATTAATGCCTTTGCTTAATTGTAGTGAGACTGTCAAATTGATGATTTGTCAGCTCTGAATGCGAACACCATGCACACCCATCGATGACCTCCTGTTACCCTGCTTAACATCCGTTAGTTCATGGATGACTGATCACAAGTTAAAGAACAAAATAATCACAATTCTAACTTCAGGTCAGCGAGAATGAACAAAAAATAACATTAACAACAAAAACAAATCTTAATATCTCTATTTCATTTAATATGGACAGAAATTAAACTTGGTATATCTTGTCAGTTACTTTTATCATATTGGACCTATATGTCATGTTTGACTGTGCACAAATTAAAGACAAAATAACCATGTTTATTCCTAAAATGTATGTCATTGCTTCCTTTATTGTAGAACAATGTTTTTCAGAAGGTCGTTGACCTCCATCCATTACTTCATAATAATATTAATAATGGTGGCTTCTTATATAGCGCACATGTCTGTCACGTTGTGACGCTCCTGGCGCTGCCCCGATTATTACCCTTGCTTTAGCAAGGCGGCCACTGCGGCGCTCTAGCATTTCAACGAATTAATTCCTACCAGGTACTCATTTACATCACCTTTGAAATGTGGCTATTCCTCTCTTGTTTGTGTGTTTGTGTGATTGTATGTTTTTCCCTTAATAAACATGCTGGCTCGGAGTGTAACCTCACTAGTCATAAGGACCGCGATTTATTACGTGGAACTTCCGATACGTGAAGAACCGCTATTCATAAAACGGAAAGAGGGCCACTATTCACAAAAGCGTGAGGACTGTTATTCTTGAGGACCGCTATTCATAAAGTGAGATAAGGGTCGCTATTCATAATTCACATCTAGGGGTCATTACTCTTAAGGACCGCTATTCATAATACGAAATCGGGGTCGCTATTCATAAACAAATTGATGTCCTTTATTGTTTAATATGACATTGCATTTTTTGTATTCTATCTTTAATTTGTGCTCACTCAAGCATAACCTAATAAATACGATGTGGGGGAAGGTAACTGACTAGCTTGCCGTCTTTAGTTTCTTTCAACAACAAGAAGTAAAGAAATACCTTTATGACTTAATAATTTTTTTCCTTTGTTTGCGCTCAGTCAACCATGAAATGATGGAAACATCGTCACTGAAAAGTGGGGTGGCAACGCATATTACGGAAAATGTTTGCGTTTTAGGCCGGTCTCCAAATTTTAAGTAATATTTTAATGTGGTTATTTGTTTAATCTTGTGCTCAGCTATAACCGTTAAGTAATTGATTACGATCTCAGTAGATCATTAATAAGCTTACGGTTCCTCTATGAACTGAAGCAACGACACTAATTTCATGAAGTTTAAACTGTGATTCTTATTTTATCCCCTTTACCTTGTGCTTATGGTAGGCAATGCCAGCCCACCCCCTCCCCTCCTCTGAAAATACCACTGCAAGGAGGTCCTCTCCGAGTGTGATGTTTGCATATAGTGCGGAAAATCATCAATTTGGCTGTCCTTAGCTACAGCAATGACATTGATCTTGCGAATCATTTATTTTTCGGTCTTTAAAGGGACTTGGTAACATTGTTTATATGAGAGAAAATGGTGCTAAGGCAGTGACTTCATTGCTAGATGTACAATTAAAGATAATCTGAAAGTTTGAGTGAAAACGGACCATTATTAATGATAACCATTGGGAAAAACTGATCTCACTGATCGATTCCTTAATTCTCCCAACTATATTATCACAATTTAATTACATTTCAGGTGAAAGTACATCGTCTTGTGACGATTGCAACAAACTGGCTCTTCATAACATTCCAGACATTTTAGTGTTGAAAGATTTTAAAAAGCCTGTCTTATGTCTTATTTTCATGGAAAAACGGTTTGGAAAATTCAAAAATGGTTGGGAGAATTTACTGTTAATCACTGTTAAAGGGTGTTACTCAGTGTCCGCTTCAAAGAAAACCGTGCATTTATTTGTGGTTTAAGAATTTTCTCAGGATTTTTGCCTGTAAGTACGGTAAAAGGAATATAATAAGTAACATTTCATACAAAAATTACACCGTTTTTTAATCAACCTTCAACAATGTTACCGAATCACTTTTTGAGTTCT